CCGCTTATCGTGAGCGAGAAGAGAAGATCGTCCTCTCGCACGCTCGCGCAGAACCGTGCGAGGGTGCGAGACGTGCGAGAGCCTCTTCCTCTCTCACGTGTCCGTCGAAAAAATCGCGTACCCGCGAGAGCGAAAGAAGGAAAGAAAAAAAAAAGGTAGAGAAAAGCGGATAATATTCACATCGTCTTTCGTAAGTACTCCTCTCGTCTCCTTACTTCGGCCGGCGCGGCGCGGTTTATCGCCTTCTCGTTATCGTCACCTTAAACGGAGTGTCGAGCGTAAAGTCCATTCTGGGAATGCCAACGACGCGGGAAGAGACGAGAGAAAGAGAGAAACGCTCGCGGATGCTCTCGGGGCCCCGGTATCTCCCATCGGCATTCGGCATTCCTCATCTGTTTTTTTTTTTCTTTCATCTCTCCCACATTGTTTTCATCGCGTTATTACGCAACCAGATCGCAGAGCGCGTCCGCGAATTTTATCGCTCGGGGAACTTGATTGTGAGTCACCCGGAGCCTCTCCCCGCGTTAACTACGTTGTTCCCGAGCGTCATCTCGGGTCGCCCTCGTCGCGCGATGGTATACTCGTTCTCGCCGCCCTCGCCTCCGAACGAGGCGTTCGCGTTCGCCATATCGAGCGTGTTAAAGGGACAACGAAGGGAGAGGATGAGGCGGGAAAGCGGGCGGGAATAGCTGACGTCCTCGGGGACGTAATTAAAAAAAACCTCCTTTCGTTTTCGCCCGGCCGTCACCGACGCCGCCGACGCCGCTTTCGGTGATATAGGTCGCCGGGAGGGAGGAGGAAGGTCATCCCTTTTTACGTATTAGAGAGGCGTAATATGAGCGCTCGCGCGCGCCCGCGCGCATACATGTAAACGCGCGCTCTCTCGCACACCGGGCCGCGCGACGCGACGAGGGAACGATACGGGGAAACAAGTTCGTCGCGTGTGGCTCCGATTCTATCGGCGTGTCGATGCACAGAGGCCGTGAGGGTCTTCGTCGGCCTTGAGGAGAAACCGGTCTCCGGGAGAGATTCGCGCATCGATTGTTCCATGTTTGGAAACCGGAAACGCCGCGCGTCGCGTCACGCCGCACCGGGCCGTCGAAGCGGTCTCTCGTTCGTATTGACAATTTGACAAGCACTGAACGCCCGTGAAAAAAAAAACGCGGAGAGAAAGAGATAAAGCTTACGTAACATTTTATGGCAAACCTTGAAAATACGTATAGAAAGATATTTGCTATTAAAATAAAGAAAAATCGCGGTCCAAAGTCTGACGAGCGAGATTTCACCGCAACTTTGTCGGCCGCGCGCGTTTTTCGTCTCGTTTTCTCTTTTCCTCTTTCCCACATTTTCTTTTCCTCTTCTTCTCGCGACTCGCATTTCCATCGTAATCGCGCGCGTTCGACGCACGATAAGAATGCGACTTCGATAACGACTCGGCGGCGCGCGGTGGCGAGCGGGCGAGCGATGGCTTTAAACTCGCGGCGGAGTAAACACACCGCGGGCGTGCGTCGCGTATCGTGATGAATTTTTCAGAGAGTGAGAGATCAATCCGTTCTCCCTCTCTCCCTCGCGCCTCTCGGCGTGTCGCGTCGCGTCGCATTTAGACCGGCGAATCGTCAACCATACCGGGGCGAAAAAGAATCCGAGGCAGTGCGACAAAGAGACGTCGGGACATCCACGTTTCTCTTGCGTAACCTGTCTTTCATCGATTGCTCGTCATTCGTATCGGGATAAAAAAAAAATGTAGTTTTTCGCGACTTTTTTTCCTCGTGATTCACCTTGTGCAGGATCGTAGTTTAACATTAACGTGATAACGAGTAACGATAACGCAGCAACGGCGAATTATTTTACAATTACCGGATATACAAAAGGAAGCGAAATAATTATTAATCATCGTTTCACTCCCCCGCTCATCCCCGCACGTCCGCGTATGCGATGCGCGTATATACTTTTTATAATCGATTGTGCCGGATATAAGAGACTTACGCCTTTAAAAACGCGCGCCGCATTCCGCCCGGAAATTTTTAATCTCGCGAAGCAAATGAAAATATTATCGCTGTAAGTTTTTCTATCGGCGAGGCACGTAGCGCGTTCGACGTATATCGAGCTAAAAGCACGCCGTTGTGGTAGACGTGCCTCTATCCTCGTGCAAGAAAGAAATCTCGGTTACTCGGTGGTACGTGCCTCTCGTATCGCGATTCTCCTTGAACTCGGAAAACAATTACGTCACTATGTGAAGTGTACAAACAATTCGTATTTAATATATTAGGTATGCGTTAGTACCTATGATTCGACGACTTAACACTTTGACACTGCCAAGTCATCCGTATTCGACGTGTAAAATTCGCACGCCTCCTCCTTCCTCCCCCCCCCCCTCTATTACTTGTTTGTGGATTGACAGTTTTATTTATCCGATCAATGTCCATTTTTGTAATGTAACCAATGTAGACTAGCTTTAACCTCTGTTCAATTTAATCTTTTTATCTTTTGTTAATTCTTAGAGAATTTATATCTGTTTTTTTAATTCTTAGAGAATTAGAAAGAGATGAAAAGAGTAAATTCTACGAACTAGAATTTACTCTTTAATTATAATAATTAGAAAAAAATGGAGAGAGAGAGAGAGAGAGAGAGAGAGAGAGAGAGAGAGAGAGAGTAAATTAAATTGCGATTAAAGTTAATCTGATGAAAACAGATAGAAACGGATAAGAAGGATTTTATTAATTTAAGACATTACTGAAGGAATATAAATTATCTCAGGACATTTAAGAGAACAATAAAATATAGAAATACACACTAGACTTATTCGGATCGCAATGTCGAAATCTCCTTGACGGCCGAAGCGTTAACAAGCTGTATCAAAGTGAACGAGTAATTATCCTTAATTTTCGGTAGATTTCTAGCGGTAGGCCGAGTAATGCCCGCGGATTTGTTGTGCCAAGCTTCACGGGCGTTTGCTAAATTGAATTAAATTGCGCTTCGTTCGCGAGAGATATACCGATACGCTACGCGGTCTTCCTTACTTCAAGGTCTTCGTACAATACAGTACGCTATATTATCTCACGAGCCTCTCATATTTTAATATTTTATATTTGGAAACTTCGTAGTTCCATGCATTTTGAATACGCTAGTCGTATAATAGACCGATCGCAGGGAAATTAATCTTCTCATCGAGGGGAGAGAAAGAGAGAGAGAGAGAGAAAAAGGGAATTACTCCGTCACTTTTCAACCGATTCACCGGGGGATATATTTGTCGCTCGAAAAATAGCAGAGATATTTTTCCGATCTCCCGTCGATAATAAAAAAAGTTTTATATTACATTCGCGCGAGAACGTGGGAAGTGAATCATCCGTTTACGTGAATTTTATATCGTGATGTGTGTACAATACCTCTTTTAAAGAGGAGTCCGTTGGTTTACAAATTTTTAATCCAAGTCGCGTATTACGTCGCATTTGCATACAAACGGCACGTACGTGATACACGAGTGTGTCTGCGGCCTGCGAAGACCACGTGTATAGGTATCGGTCGG